ACATGATGATGTATCGTCTGCAATGCTATGGTAACTTATGGTTATTAAGATTAGCGGGAGCATGTAATGTTAAATAGGAGGGGGCCCTATGATGGAGCCTTGTGGGACGCCACATGTGAGTTTTTTTGTAGTCTCTGATGTATAGTTACCCAATGACACAAAAAAAGTCCCAGTAGCTCAGGCAGAAAGGCCGACCCAGTTTTCCAGGCGCTCTAATAAAACAGAGCAATCAACAGAGTTAAATGAGGTCAAATAATACCAGCTGCCACCAGATCTATTACAGCAGTTACCACAGCTCTATAAGATCCGCCATCTTCAACACAAAGGCTGCTTCTACGGTCAATTCCATTCCATCGATAAAATAAAAGCGATGCGATTTATCATTGTACTGTGATTCCACTGTCAACTAGCAGTGGTGGTGTGGCAAAACAGCAGATGCATCCAGACGACATGAGCAGCAGCGGGTGTAAAAGCTCACGGTTCGACTGTACAGGCCTATTTCCAGTCAAATGTGATGCAATATTTCAGGAGGCGGCTTTCAGAGCAGAGGGAAGAAAGAAAAAGGTTGAAATCACATTCAGATCCATCAGTCCACAGAGCAGGGGGGCGGAGCTAAGCCACACCACTGAATTTAGCACAAGAAAAAAGAAAAAAAGCAGAATTCATACAAGCCAGAAAATATTCTGTAAAAACCAGAACAGATTAAGAGTTTCTAGAGGTTAGGAATGAAAAAACAAAACAAAAAAACAAGCAACAATATGAACACTTTTTATATTCCTGTTATTACACCTCAGTAATAGTTACAGGGTTAATTATAGTTAGGGAGTACGATGCTACGATGCCAATATTCCAGCTTTTAATATCGGTGGATACAGATATTGCCTTAATATGCTATTAGCATGAATCCTGCATCATTTTATTACTTATTCTGCAGTTTTAAATATTAGAATGTGTTCCACGAAGTATGAAAGTCAGCAATAAGTATGAGAGGAACAGACCCATTTATTACCAACCATTTGGTTGCAGAAACTTTAAATAGAAGCAAAGTGTTAAGTGCTGATTGAGTTCTTAGATGTTAGATCATGTATGGAGCTAAATTGGGGCCATAAAGTTTGTTCAGAAATATGTTTATTTTCTTGACCAAAAAGGCATAAAAAGGGACCAGAACTTTGAAACAGAAAAAAATGTTAAAAAGTAATTTTAAACAGTTCTCCATACTTTCTTTATTATTTGTTTATTTAGTCTTAATCTGTCTTAATTTACAAAAAAAATTTCACTCTCAAAAATGTCGCTTTTAGTATACATATTTTTTTATTTCAAAAAGGTTTTTGACACTCTTTATTTACATGATTGATTTAAAGAAATCTATGCCTTGCAGTTTTTTTCCATTTTCAATAGATTTTTGCAACTTTAAAGAATTCAAACTTTAAAGGTAGAATGGCGCTAGGCTTACCGCACCGTGACGTCACTGCCTGAAGATGGCGTTATATGTGGGGCAAAAATGGCCGCTCCCAGACTCAGTGATCGCAATGAAAAATGTTACTTTTATTTTTTTACTGATTAACGCTAAATTCATTAAATCACCGCAAAGTTTTAGGTATAAAAAAAATCATCCATTGCTCATTCCTTGCTGACCGATTTTCTCCTTTAAAGAACTCTATGCCTTGTAGTTTCACATTTCTTTTTTTTTCTGTTTCCATATAATTTCTGCAGCATTAAAAAGCATATTTTGGAGACGAATTCAATTGCCCCAATTTAGCTCCATAGAAACCTACGGATCTTTTAAAAGTCCAAACTAAACAATGATTTCTCAGGACTGGGAATCGAAACAAAAGAAGAGCGACTGCTTGAACCTCTCTGCACATCCAACCCTGGCTGGTTAAAACCAAGTTATTGACATTTTACCCCCTAAATATAAACAATCAAGCTTGATATTAGTTAGATTTTTCCCCACACATTTCATGATCACATCTCCTTATTTTCTTTTGGTAGTTTTACTTCATAGGATCTCATCTTCCTCCCTCTCACAGACAGAAGTCATCCTCATCATCTGATGCCACGCCCTGCTGTATCTCTGCCTCACAGACAGCCATGAGCTCCAGCTCCTATGAACCAACAGGCCTCCTGATTGATGGTGCTTTTCATCGCTCCCAGCTGAGCCTGAGGTGTGCAGTTTAAAGCAGAAATCTCAGCCAATGCATGCACACAGTGCCACTCCCACGTCCACGGTGGAGCCGTCAATCAGCGTGAGAGGAGCACAGATCATGTGTGATGATAAGGCTCCTCCAGAAGGTGTGACCTGAACCTAATTTCCACCAGGCACGAGAGGAAAGATGGGAATGTGTATAATTAGTAAATATGCGTGGGAAGGCAAACAGGAAAACAGACAGTTCCCCTTTAAGGGGGGTCCTCCCTTCACAGGCAACAATACATCTGCAGTGCAGCGCAGCGCGACAAACCTCATTCTAGAAACCTTCTAATTAGATTTCTTAGCTCCTCCACCAACAAGCTGAACAGTTAGCTGATTATTAAATGTCTAATATCGCGTATCTGGATGAGTACTCCAATTCGGCTGTTGTCAAATAAACCTAAAGTTGTTTATTTTTCCCTTAATCTCCTGATCCCAGCCTCTCCTCCCGTCGGTGCTGGGATCAGCAGGCTCTGCCAAGCCCGCATGTCTGGGCTTCGATCTAACGGATTGCTCGCCAAGTTTTCCGCCATACTGGCTTTTCTAAAACTGCGACATAAAAAAAATAAATAAATAAATAAAAAACAGAGGATTTTGCTGATAAAAAAAAACAAAAAAAAAAAACACCCAAATGTGGAGGCCAAGGCTTCAGCAAAAAAAAAAACACCCAAATGTGGAGGCCAAGGCTTCAGCCTCCGCTGAAGCTCGCATGCGGATTGGAGCCCATCACCTCTTAGATTTAATACTCCTATAAAGATGCACTAAAGAACATAATTTACATCTTTAATCTAATATTCATTGTGAAATTTCTACAATGGAAAATTATAATGTGAAAAACTTAAATATACATTAATTTTGACATCCTATCAAGATTATAACAGCTTATTTACAACCCAAAAAAAAACAAAAAAACCTATAGAAATAGGTTTGAGATTGTGGAAATATATTCCCATCAGATTTCACTATAATTTTATTAAAACGACAGATTATTTTTATGCTGGCCTTGAGATCTTATTTTTCATACATCTAAACATTTCATTACAATAAAACATTTATTTTTGGTGCAGCTGCTTCATTAGAATGATCCAGATTTATGGATTTTTTTAAAAATAAATAAATACATTTATGGTATAATTT